AATATGAGAAAACCCTAGGAAAGAAGGCTGATGAATTTGATTAGACAAGAAAAGGCAAAGCTGATAACAGTGAGAAGTGGACCAACTTCAATTCTGAGGAAGTCGAATTTATCTTTTTTTGCATCTTTCTATCCCACAGCTAGTGAAGGCAACCTATACTCCTGCACGTCTAGTCATGGACCCTGGAACCTCTCCTGAAGTGCAGGAGAGGACATTATCTATTTTTCCAGCATCAAAGCTTTAATGCTTGTTCCATTTACATCACGTAAAATACAATGAGCCACCCAAAGAATTTTTTGCTCAGCATTATTTATTTGAATTATGTAGTATTTTTTTCCTTCCCTTTAAGGAGTGGTTAGTCAAGAGAAAATCCAGCAAAATTACACTTTGGCAAAGACAAATGCCATTAAATTCATCATTCTTGTGTTCGTTTTCCAGAGAGGAGCTGAAGTACATTTAGTTCCCTGGAATCACGATTTCACCAACATGGAGTATGATGGTCTTTTGATCGCTGGAGGACCTGGGAATCCAGCCCTTGCACAACCACTAATTCAGAATGTCAAAAAGGTGCGGTGACCTGGGGTCAGTGTGTATTCATGTGTGAGGTGGGGGGGGGAGGTTTCTGCTCTGAAATCCGAAAGAACTATAATACATTTGCTTATTCAGGTATTTGTCATTACTCATATTTGTGACCTCTGAGGCAATGTCAGTATCCATAATCTATAGGGAGACCAAGGAGGAGAGAATTCCAGAGGCAATAGAGCTTTTCTTCAGGCAAAGTAACTTTGGGCTCGTGTCCTTGAGTTAATAGAAATGGAGTCCAATCTCCAAATGTATCTTTCCTTAAAATTGTAAAATGACAACTCGTGTTCCTCGTTATGACTTTGGGGTCTATAAGACCTTCAAGTCTTTAAAGAAATATTAATTAGATTTAGTTTAGTCTCAGTGTTAAGTACATCTTATTGAATTCTAATGCTACAAATTTGTCAATTGTGTCCTTATTTATATTTTCTTTTAATTCATTTCATTTTCATTTTAATGTTGTTCTCTTTACCTTGTTAATGAAGGAAAAAAAAAGGACTCTTCATTTTTATTCCTTCAGAGGCAACATTTCTTGGAAGCATAACTATTTGGTTAATAAAAATTCTCCCTAATTTAGATTTTGGAGAGTGATCGCAAGGAGCCGTTGTTTGGAATCAGTACAGGAAATTTAATAACAGGATTGGCTGCTGGTGCCAAATCCTACAAGATGCCCATGGCCAACAGGTGAGGCAGTTATGCTTTTATTTACAGTAAAGCAGCTCTGAATCACTATTAGTAACTAAACACAAAGGTCTTAGAGAATTTACCTGCCGTTTCTTCAGAATGAATAGATTACCATTCTATTAAATGGTTCACAGTTGTTTGACTACCTGATACCACTTTTATTGCATTTTTGAAAGGCAGCCTTCTCTAACAATAACTTTGCTGTAGTTTAAAGTTATTTTCCTTCCCTTGGCATAAATTGAGGTTATAATACTCAATCAAATGGTATTCTAAGGAAACCATTCTGATTTTAAGCTTGATTTCAGATCATTGTAACATTTTAAGAAGCTGGTGTGACTTAAGAACTGAGAAATCTTTAGATCCTCTCATTTTCACTTTTTTTGGTCTCAAACAATGTTAATTTATTTAACGTCAGGCTTTCTCCCATGGCCTACCCTCTACATAAAGTATAATTCAAAATGATTCAGGTCTGAGCAGTCATCTTTTTACTATTTCTCAGTAACTTTCCTCTGCCTTTAAAATTACTATTGCTCCCTTAAAGTAAGTTGCTTATATTTGCCTGTTTCTATTAAGCTAGTGAGTAACTCTTTTTGCTGTGAGTGTAATGCCCCCTTTTCTAAAACTGATTATAGAAGTTTAATAGACCTGATATTTAACACACAACAAAGCTTCCTGAATTGATTTTTGTTGCTAAAATTATTGGGATTAACAATCTGTGACTTTTCTCACAGAGTGATTTTCACGAAGCAATTGAAACTTTTGAATTTTAATAGGCTTTCCTTGTTCACTACTTTACAACTAATGCATTTATATTCTCCTCTTCACTTTTCCTTTTTCCTTATTCTTTTTCTCCTTTTTTCTCTCCAGAGGGCAGAACCAGCCTGTTTTGAATATCACAAACAGACAGGCTTTCATTACTGCTCAGAACCATGGCTACGCTCTGGACAATACCCTCCCTGCTGGGTGGAAACCACTTTTTGTGAATGTCAACGATCAAACAAATGAGGTAAGTGCTGTCCATAAACCAGTTACTGATAAGAAGTGCAGGACTTTTTACAAAACTGATAATAATTGTTCATACTTACAGGGTACACGTGATATTTTGATACATGCATAAAATATGTAACAATCAAAACAGGGTTATTTAGGATATCCGTCACCTCAAACATTTGTCATTTCTTTGTGTTTGGAACAATTCAAATCTCTTCGAGCTATTTCAAAATATGTCACCCAGGGCTATTAATACTCTGTGATACAAATACCTTTCTCTTGTGTATGTGAAATAATTTGGGGAGGGAGTGTTGGAGAACTGTTATAGGTTATGTCCCATAGCCCTCTGCTTTGAAAAAGTCATTTCTCTCTGTCTTCATCTCTCATCAGTTGACTCTTTAAGATTCACTCTTGGAGTCTTTAATCAACAATTGTCTTACACATTCACGGTCTATGGGCCGGTGGTCCAAATCTTTCCGGGCCCAATCTAGGTAGGTCTCTGAGACTCGCTTGGTACCAGAGTAGTCCTTGAGAAGACCGCTGGAGAAGTAATTTAAAAGTTGAAGTTAACAGGAGGATTTGAGTTTATACTGAACAGAGCCTAGAGGGGTTCCAAAGGCTATAGACCAAATCTGTTGTTTTTTATTTAAGGAAACCACATTTGGTTGAGTTTTCATTGGCCCATTTTCTATTCTTACCAAAATGGTTAGACATATGTATGTCCTTAAGATCTCCAATCATGTTAATAGACTGCTAGATTTAAGATTTTTCATTAAGCATTTAACTCAGTTTTTCCTTTGAATTTTATTGCCCACTGAATAATACATAGCCACACTTGACATTCATTGTTACAGAAGGAATTTCTTCCTGTTTTTTATTCCTTTAGGGGATTATGCATGAGAGCAAACCCTTCTTTGCTGTGCAGTTCCACCCAGAGGTCAGCCCAGGGCCGACAGACACTGAGGTATGTCAGAAATATGGGGCCTCTTATATATT